CCGGGGCCGGGCCCGCCCCGCCCCCACCAGCGCCGGCCGCCAAAGAATAAGATCCTCTTGGCGGTGGCCTAGGCGCCGCCTGACTCCCTGACATTTATCCACGCTGCGTTCCAGGCGCACAATAATAGAAGAGGATGTCAGCGACAGACGATAGCTCGTACTCGAGTACGAGATATGTCTCCTGCAGGGTGCGAAACAAAAATTGAATCGAATTGTCCCACGTCCGTTGGACGTCCGTTGGATGTCCGTTGTGACCCCCGCGCGCGCGGTGGCCCAGTGGACGGAGGACCTCTATGAGGACCTCCCGCCGGGCGACCGCAAAACAATATTTAATATTTCTGGCCACGGCTAGCCCTATGGTCGTTTCGCACACTGATCTCCTGTCTCTCTCCTCTGTATCCTGAATATCCTGGCTGATATATCCTGCGGCTATACCTGCACATATTAAACCCAGCCACATATCAGATAAGATTTGTGTTTCAATTTTTAACGCGGCACGGGATGGGTGGCGGTGGATCGAAGAAAAACGACGCGTCGGTGCCAGCTCCGTCCGTCACGCCGATGGGCGCCGATGAGCGGTCCAACGCCGTTGTGCCCGACGTGCCAATATACGAGGGTCCGACAATCAAAGCAACTTCGACGAATGATTTTATCATAACAACCACCCTCGGCAAGGGTTCGTTTGGGCGCGTGCGGCTGGCACGACACAAAGAGTCTAACACCCTCTGGGCTTTGAAAATTTTGAAAAAAAAGGAGGTCTTGCAGCACAATGCAATTGAACACGTTTTTCGTGAAAAAAAAATTCTTGCTGCTCTCTCTCATCCCTTTATTGTTAATATGGCTGTCGCGTTCGACGACCCGCGCTCCGCAGGGCCAAGCCTGTCATTTGTCCTATGTCGGCAAATACGCGTCCCGCGCAGGTTCTTCGTCTATATTGTTCTGGAATTTGTACAGGGTGGTCCTTTTGACACTCGATTGCGGGGTGAAGGGCAGCTCAAAGACGACGAGTCAGCATTTTACACGGCACAAATAGTCCACATCTTCGAGTATATGCACGCCAAGTGTTACTTGTATCGAGATCTAAAGCCTGACAACTTAATTCTTGACATGACAGGATACATCAAACTGGCAGACTTCGGCTTTGCAGTATATTGTGAAACCCTGACTAAGACTCTCTGCGGAACCCCTGATTATATGGCACCAGAAATCATAGAAAATGGAGGATATGGAAAGGGAGTCGATTGGTGGGCGCTTGGTATCGTCCTGTGTGAGATGTTGACTGGCAAAACCCCGTTTGTTGCCGATGATCCCATGGAGACGTACAAGCTCATTCTGAAGAACTCACCAAAATGGCCGTCCGATCTAGAGGGTGCAGGTAAGGCAGCCGTTAAGAAGTATTTGACGAAGAACGCTAGCGAGCGAATGGGCAATGGCAAATCAGGTGGAGAAGAGTGCAAAAAGCACAAGTTTTATAAAGCGATAGAGTGGGGAAAGCTCCTGGCACGTGAGCTGCAAGCACCGTATGATCCATTCGTCAATTTCGAGGAGGATACGTCTAACTTCGACGAGTATCCAGAGTCGAAGGGCGACCCCGAGCTACCTGAGTACACTGAGGACCGGCCTGACCCCTTTGTGAATTTCAACGAGACATGACATGACCACCAGACTGCGGGCTGGGGAAAGTGGAGAGATAGCGGACCGGCCCGGCGTAATTTGAGGCGGATACCTTGGTGTGGGGGAGGCGGTATTTGCAGAGGCTACGAAGGGCCAGTGCCGAAAACAATCATGCATACTGAATCTAGCGTCTGCACAGCCCACGACTGAGTAAATCGACATCGGAAATCAGAGTAGAAGGCTATACTCCTTTGAATCCCTATNTGAAGGGCAATTCCCGCTACAATAGTAGGCGCATGCACACCACCACCGGCAGCATAGCAGACGCATAGCAGCCTGAGCCGCATAG